GGAACCGACCCTGTCATGAGACGCACAGTCGAACATGCTCCCTCTCACATATTTTAAGTTAAAGGAGACGCGTTCGCTCGCGTTGGATACAGCCGGTACTCCGGGCGGTCCCTCAGAGTCTTCCATCTGTATGACTCGGTGAGCCACGCTTTTGGGGTGAGGCGGAGTATCATCGTTCCCAGTGATACGATGTATATACCCCCACCCTTGATTCTAAAGCGACCACCTAAGGTTGCTTCAACGCTTATGGGATCACGGGCGTCGGGATCCAAAGCAACCCCGTCGGCACATCTCTCCCCTGTCCGTCTGAGTGCGGAGTGGGGCGCAGAGCACGCAAACGGTGTTGATGGGCGGCGTTGGTCAGCCGCGGAGGATGTAATGCTTAAGGCCCCCGGGTGGGGATAACGTTAGGCAACACTTCCCACTGGACCAAACGCTACCCAGTCGGTGTGTTTCGGGATCAGACCCCATAGCGTGGGATTTGACCAAAACGCCCCCAACAGGATTCCAAGGCTCCTTCCCCAGACCCCGGTACCACGAATTTGGCAAACCGGGCAAAGGGGGATAGCTGCGTTCCATGGGTACGTCCCCCACCTCAGTGACGCAGACTGGACACCCTCCACCCTCTTTGTTCAGGGAATGGTGGGTACAGTCTCGGAGCTTCGGAGTGCAATGAATCAGAGGGTTCAGATTGAATCCGCTAGCCAGTTGGTCCTGCCATGGGCAAGCGGAGGGCACCCCAAGCACAGAAAACACAACGCCCTAGGGCGTTGCCCGCTAGCCAGAGTCAGCCAGGAGGCAAGCGCTTATACCCTTCCATGGGAGGGAAGGGTAGTGGCGTGCCCCCAGGGAGGTAAGAGCCAGGTGGTGGCTCCTCACCCTCTCTGGGCGGATGTCTACCCGGCAGCAGGGGAAGCATGTTTGACGCTCACCTCTGCAACCGGGGGAGACAGGCACGTGTTCGGTGAGTGGCCAGGTCACAACTTAGTGACTACTTCAGGCCTTGGGGAACTCGCCTCATGGGGGAAGGGAGCACCCTCCCCCCTTGCAACTGCCGAACACATGGCCACACATCCCTGTCGTACACAGATTGCGCCGGTATAGTCCGGTTTGGAGACGGCGGGTGAACGACCCCTGGACCTTCCCAGGTGGTGACATCCATTTACGGCATACCGCTGAAATCTCCACTTCCCCCCGTCAGTGTCTCCCCTGTTGGGCACTGCCAGGGGACTCCCGCAAGGCGGAAGCAATCAGACAGGAAGTAGCAGTTTGCTGGGGAAAGACGCCATACACAGGGTACATCAGCCGGAACTAAATCCAGGCTTCTACCCAAATGTGTTCGTAGTACCAAATCTACAAGTGGCAGGCGTCCAGTTTTGGACCTAGACAGACTGAATCAGTACGTGCCCCTCGATCGGTTCCACATGGAGACACCATTCAGGGTTCTTCTCTCCATCCACCGTTTTGACTGGCTAGCCCCGCTAGATTTAAGCGGGGCCTACCTGCACGTACCGATGCACCTAGCGAGTTGCCATCTCCTTCGAATCGCCCAGCTGGGCCAAGTATTCGAACTTCGGTGCCCCCCCTCTGTTCGGGTTAGGCACAGCGCCCTACGTGTTCACCAGAGGGATGAAACAGGTAGTGCTGCTGCTTCACCAGATGTCGGTACACCTCAATCCGTACCCAGACTACTGGTTACCAACAACCCGGGCAAGGGGTAATAGCCAAACGCATCAGGCTAACACAGGATTTACTTCACCAGCTGGGCTCGTTAGTAAATCGACAAGTCCCACCTCGAGCCAACGCGCAGTTGGTGTCCCTGGGCATGGAGTTTTGACACAGAGGTAAGCTTGGCTTAGCTATTTCAAGCATATTGCTTAGCGCTAAGCAGCCTAGCCGAATGCCTAGTCAGCGTTCCCTCGGTGTCCCTCCGTGAACTAATGCGGATCATCGGAATGATGACCTCGGTTCGAAGGGTCGTTCCCCAGGCTTGTTATATAACACTTGTTATATCGCCGAGCTCTTCTATGGGAACTAGATAGGCGGGTTTCGATCTCGGACCAAGTGAAGGAAGCCCTGCCCTGGTGGTCGTCACTGACCAACCTCGGGCAGAG